GGTCGCGAAAAAGTGGCTCCTGGCTTTCAGGGTCACGAAAGATTGCGGGAATGTCGCGTACAAGGACTTCTTCGAGCAGGTCGCTGTTCCTGAGGTGAAGGACAGGAACGAAATCTTCGGATTCTCCCGTGCATCAGCCGAGAAGACTGGGGACATCATCGAGTTTTGGCTTGGTGTCTTGGATGTGGCAAACATGGAAAAAGGGGTTGTGAATGTCTTCAATGCCAGCGTTGACCCTGCTGAATTCCTCAACGGCTTGGAGAAGGCATTGGCCCAATTCACATCAACTTCCAGAACTACAAGCACCATCAACGACAAGAGACGAGGCTCTTTCGACTGCACCCTGCAGACTGCAGAAGCCGAAAAGGTCATGAAGATTATCCACGCAATTCCCGGGTATGAGACGTTGAGTGACTTCAACTGTCTCACGGAGTGGGAGAAAGATCAGGTCATCTCTCAGTTTCGAAGAAAGCACCATGTCACAGGGGACGACACCAACATGGGCGCTGATGCTGATGCCAAGCCAGGTGACGAGTCGCCGACTCACCCTGGGGAGGAGGAAGCTGATGAGCCAGCAAACGACCCTACTGATGTGGTTAGGGACTCAGAGATTTCCGGAAAACAACAACTCCTGGATGCGTTGGGAAAACTCTTCACTGTCTCTGAGGATGTCAATGTGTGTTTGTACTGTGGTAGCGCCAAACATGGTCATCTCGAATGTGAAAGTGAGAAGAAGGATGAAGTCAGAAAGGTGCTAAAGGCCGTCCGGGCGTCGCTCGAGGCTGATAGTCCCACATCTGATGACGTCGAGATGGAACCACCTGAGCACAGAAAGGACGGATCAGGTGCTACGGAAGGGTCAGGGCAAACGGATGAGCCCACAAAACCAAGGACAGGTGAATACCAGTGGTACGACAACATCAGGACTATGTCCGAAGTCGGAGACCTGGATGAATATGGTAGGTTTTGTATTGAAGGGCGTGATGTTACCAAGCTGGGACCCCAAAATATCGTTGATCTCAATGAAGTGGTCCGGGACGCTATTGTCAGAGGAGGAGGTGACACTTGGTCAGTACCAGAGTTCCTCGCAAACTACTCCGACAACAACATCAGAAAACCCTTCTACAAACGGATCGAAGCGCCGCGAGATGGTTTCTTGAAAATCATCCCCACGACGGGAGCCCACTTCTTCAACTGCTTCTACTTTGGCGGTGTGGAGTATGCGGCGAACTATCGCTTCGAAACCGGTAATCGGCTCGACAGCTATGAGGACAAGGTGAGCCTTTCACTGAACAGGATCCTACGACACAATGTGGGGAAAGCCTCAGAATCACAGAGCTTGGTTTGTGACGATGCTGGCTGGGTACCCATTGAGGATGTACTCAAGTGTGAGTCAATCTGGAGACATGAGCACCAGCGTTGGCCGCACGTCTTCCTCGCCCCCAAAGGGAGAGCAAACGATCGAAATGCATGGAACGTGAAAGAGGCGAGCAACCGCATGGCGTTGCTGTTCAAGATCATGTTCCACTGTGCCCGATATGGACGTCGTGTACGTGAACAAGTCTTGGCGTTTGGGATCAACAAGGACATTGATCGCAACAGCCTGACATGCATTGACAACAATGTCAACGCGGACACGCCTATTCCTGACGAGGGGCTATTGCTCTATCCAGTTGCAGTTCGCGCTCCAACAGGGCACAAGGAGGGATCCTCCAGAGACGACGTATTATTGCTGTCCTCCTTGCTCTCGCACCCGATTGCACCCAATACCATCATGTCAATGCCGGTTTGCTTCCACATCACGAAGAAGACCAACCTTCGAAGCATTTGGAGGGAAGGACTGATTCCAGGAGGTCTTGGGGAAGGTCATCGTATGTTCACGTTCTTCAATCCGTACGTGCCGTGGGATCATCGATCATGGACTATCACGAAGAGCGTTGACACACGAAAAGGGGACTACATCTGCCTCTACATCCCGACCGAGACCCTGATGGTGGAGTACGGTGGTCGATTGACGGATTCGGGACAGATCGTTTCGCCAAAGATCATCCCGTTCTCAGCGATCAGAGGAGGATGGATTCAAGATCCAAAGGATCAAAACAACAAGACATGGCTCCGGTTGTTCGTTCCGTCGGGCGACGACCAGGTAGTCCGGTCAGGCACTATCAAGTCAAGAACTGTTGCCACCAAGGAGTCCATTCTGAGGATCGCAAGTCAATGCATCGACGCCGAAAAGCAACCGTATGACGAGATCACCATGGATGCAATGAACGTCGTACACCAGTTCAGGAACAATCTCATTGAAGCTGGTGGACAAGAACAATACCTCGCCCGCATCAAGTTGATCGACTACATCGTCGAGCGCAAGAGGGTGGAAACTTCAGGTTGCCGTCATTGCCCTCATTGTCTCAATGAGACGCCAACGAAATTGGCAGTTTGTCTAGGATGCTGGACAGAGCTTGAGAGCTGTGGAATTCGACCTTATAGGTTACAAGCCCCTGAAGACGATGAGGACGAAGCCACCAAGAAAGAGATCGACGAGGAGGTTCGGAAGAATCGTTGTTCGAGGATACGGTCCACCAGGCACAGGAAAACGTACCTGAACCCAACGATTATGGCTTCAATCCTGACGAAGTCGACTACAACGAAGGCGACGACGAGGAAATGGCTCAGGAGGAAGAAACTCAGCAGGAAGACGATGAGATCGTTGAGGAGGACGACGATGATGACATGAACGTCGAACCTGAGGAAGAGGCTCCAGCCAACCTGCCAGTATGGACCAAGAATCTTGTGCCTGGGAGCAAGGGTTTGCCAGGAGATGGGTTAGTAAACAATGATGTCTCCGAGGCCGCGGCTCACTTGTACGACAATGCCGTGATGTCAAAGATCATCGCAATGTTCAGACTCTACTACAACCAGAGAGTCAGTTTGACCCCAGATGAATACTATGCGTTGATGACAACCACCAAGGGAGTCCGACTGGACCTGGACGACTTCTGCCCCTACACGGGCGAAGATCAGGATGGCAAACTCAAGCGGCCGACTGAGCAGGAATTGGACGCACTATTTCAGGAGAAAGGGAAGAAGAACTCATGGTCAGAGGGAGAATTGATGTACTCTGGGCGACCGAGAAACATGATGATGCCTGTCATCAAAACTCTAGAAGTCTACGAAAAGATGATGGAGTTTCTTGTCTGTGCCGGGTACACTCCCGATTCCTTAGGTTTCCTCATGCCAATGACGAAGATGCAGGGAGATGCAAAGGAGAAGCAGGAGATGAGGGTGACCATTAGCAACTTCCTCCGACGATTGATGAAGGGAACTTTTCCCGAATATGAATCATACACCTTCTTTCGTTCCGGGAGCCACGGCTTCCCCAACTGCATTGAACTCCCAGCTTTCTCGGTATATCTGAGTCTGAGAGAAAGGGAACAAAGGGTGGAACTACTCTTCGCTGCCCAACAATGCGGTATTCCATTACCTCGCAACTTCATCGGCAAGATGGCTTACGCCATTCAATTCGCTGAGTCCGAGGCGATGAGGGGAAAGTCCGAAATGAAAATGAAGATGGCTCCGAACCTGGGGGACGAAGTGGTAGGTGAAGTATTCAAAGCAGTCGGGGACAGTGCCAGCACCAAGCGTGCTACTGCGGACGCGAAAGCCAGATCATCAACACAGCCTTCACAGAAACCTGAAGATACTGGTTCAGCGTCATCATCGGCCAGTGCACCAAAGGCCAAGGCCATGCCGAAGTCTTATGGTCCACCTAAACCACCACCTGCGAAACCATCATCGCCGAAAGCTGCTCCGAAACGTGCGGCAGGTTGGGAGAAATCTCAAACAACACCTCAGTGGAAGAAAGTCCGCCGTGAGGAGTAAGTTAACTACCTCTGTCCATCTTAGTGATCACTGGACTATAAGATGTTTATCGTCTTTGTGAACAGATGATCAGGAAAAGACCAATTGAGAGGACTCTGAGCGAGGCAGTAGACTAATTCGCTTAGGTCCCATGTTCTCACTATTCCCAATCTGCACGATTTTTTTTTAGCAATGTGCACGTGAATTCACTAGTTAGCGTCAATTTCTATTCTTGGTGGAGCAGTCAACTTCCGTCGTCGATGGAGTGACTTGCGAAGCCGTAATCATAGAGTAGCTGCAAGCTAGTGATAATTTGCGTTGTACAGCTCGAACTTGCGCTGACGCATTGCATACCATAGAGTAGGCAACCCCGGATCCACTACGCTCGTCGGGTGTGGGTGAAGGGGGAGCTGAATGGATTTGCGTGTACATAGGCGTAATTCGTGCACCTCAAACAATATAATTCAAAGTTCCCACTCTCGTGCCTGCGGTGCGAAGCCACCTTAGGCATGGGGGGTGCTAAAGGGAACTAAACGGTACTGCGCACATGTATAAGCATGTGGAGTAGGCCTGACATGACGCCAAATATTTGGCTCAAGTCACAAGGGAAAACAGTGTTTGCGCTGCTCAGCAATGTTGCCTGGACTCCGGCTACTGGGACGCTAGGGACTCCACCAACTACAATCAGATATCCGGGAACAAGGATTAAAATTGTTCACATATGTTTATGAGAGTCACACACACACACACACATATATATATATATACACATACATAATGATACGTATATATATATATATATATATAATACGTATATATATATATATAATATAATGGCTATGTTGTGTTGATTCTTCCAGATTGTTAGTGTTTATAGTTATATATCCCATCACATATCCGACATATCCCATGACATATCCAATGACATCTGCCGTAAAATCAGTGGCACCTTTATTCACACACTCACATATATATATATATACACAATATAATACAATATAATATAATATAATTTCATATCATATAATATAATATTATGTCATATTTTCCATTTTGGTTGGTGAAATCCCAAGTTGTCGCAGGGAAAAAAAACCTACAGCCATGGCCATGGGCTTGGCCCCATGGCCCCATGGCCATGTCAGGTGGAAACCTTCTGCCAATGCTGGTGCCAAATGGACCTGGACAGCGATGGTATGGTGGACCTGGAGGATTTTTCTGCCTTCTTCAGCAAGCGAAAGGTGGACAGGTAGGGTCGTAGGGTCGAAAATGATCAAACTGCAGGGTCTTCAATGTTTTAACCATAGGAAGACATAGAGTCCATATCCAATTTTTGATCCATTTCACCCATTTGTTCTTGGTCAATCCAGGCAGTTTCACGCAAAATCCTCGCTTTCCAGGCTTCTGGGCATGCGCTGCGTGCGCTATCTCTCGCAGCGCGCGCTCTCGGGGGGGAAGATCTCGGTGTCTCGGCGCCTGGTGGAGCGCGGAAGTTGGGTGCCCCAACTTATGGCCATTTAGCTTAGGGTAAACTATATGTACCCTCTGGTTATTTAACAGAGCCATGGTATTGATGGATGAACATGGCCCATAGAAATAGATGGTTTACCTATGAAAAATGGTGATTTTCCATGGCGAACTGTTAGTCATAACCAGATGGTAAGTCCTGATATATAGTGGGGACATATGGGGACATAATTGGAGAATGGGATGAACAATAAAACCAACAATATTGGATATGGATATGGACTATGGAACTACCATAGGGCAAACTAACAAAACAATGTCAAAACCTATGGGGACCCTAGGAAAATTTCCCACACATGGTATTTTTTTTACTGCAAACCTCCTGTCCAATCTGTCACGTTCATGCGTTTGTTGTGGCGGGATAGCCCCCAAAGTACCATTTCATTGGGATCTCATGATGGTTTCACCCAAGGATTTACACAATTGGGCGTGACCCCGTTTGTGTAAACCCCAGTTTACGATAAATTTGGGCGGGTTTACTATTTTTGGGTTTTACCTCATTACCTATGTATTTCTAGCGACATAGACGGACCCAAAACAATCCGCAGAAAATGCCCGAATTGAGGTGGGAAAGGACGAACTGCTGCACTTGATGTGGCCCTATGCTTCGTTGGAAGACACCGATCACATGTGCACGGTCTTTGATCATTGCAGGTGGGAGTGGGAGAACCCCCCGCTGGAAAGCGCTTGAGAAGCCTCAAACCATTGGACACTGCAACGTCTATGGGCATATGACCAGTGATGCGGAGATGACTTGATATTAAGGAACGATCATGGTTAGATGGTGGATAAATACGCCATTGACCAATAAATGTAGCGGCGGAGCGGTATGTACCAAGATATAGTCGGTGCAGTGTTGCGTAAGACTGACGTGTGTCGTTTGGAGTTCCTAATCTGGCGGTCTTCTCAGCATTTTTCATTGAATCCCTGTATGCATGTTGTCAATCCTCATTTGTATCAGTTTGTCAGTCATTTTTGTTGAATCAGTCCGAAGATTTGTTCCTTCTCTTCTCGTGTTTGTTAAACGACCGCATCCCCGTTGACAACTCACCATTGATCAAAATCATCCAACTGAGTCATTTTCCAATCGCATCTCTGGCAATTTGACATAGCTAAATGGCCCATAGAAATAGATGAATTACCGTACTAAAAATGGTGATTTTCCAGCTCGCAAGTTGCAGCGAATTCCCCACTTCGGGTATACCTCATATTACATTCCCATTATATTTCTATTTTGATCCCATTTAGATATTCTTAGTTGGGTCGGTTTTATCCCATATGATATCCCCATCATATCCCCATATTTAGTTTGGTTATGTCCCACAACTGATTGTTTCTAGATACCCCTTTGCGGGGCATTAGCCGTATAAATCAACCATTATTGGGGAATGTTAACCATATAGAATCTAGAATCCATATTTAATTCATGAAATTAGATTGGTGGAATGTTTATTTACATGCATGAATCCATATTTAATAGATCTGTTCCACCAATCCACCAATGGTTTCCCATTGTGGATGTCACCTGGATGATCTATACGGCATTCCCATGATGTTCCCATGGTATTCCTGAACATAACGACTAGAATAGAATTTTCCCACGAGATCCCATGAATGATTTAATGAGGGCTACATATATACATATATACACATATATATATAACCATTATATATAACCATGATTTAATGAGATCCCATTATATAACATATTCCCATGATCACCAGCATTATATCATGGTCATATCGATGCGCCAGGCTTCGCGTGATCCAGGTGCCGGAGCCCAGAGGTCTACCGCGGAAGCGCAAGGCGGAGCTGCTGATGCCTGGCGCTGGGATTCATCGCTATGGAAGCCATGGATTTACCCATTGAAAATGGTGAATTTATGTGAATTTCCTGGGTAAACTGTCCCATAACTATGGAAAATTGCCATTTATAGTTGATTTACCTATTCCAAATGGTGATTTTCCAGTTTGCTATGTCAACGTTTACCACAGGGTATCCAAAATAGGATTTGACCAAGAAAAATGATGATTTAGTCCATGGAAATAGGATTTAAGCAAGATAAATAAGCATTTAGTCCATGGAAATGGGGATTTGACCGAGAAAGATGATTATTCCATACAAACAGGGATTTGATCAAGAAAAATGAGGATCCATGAAATTGCCATGAAATGTGGAAATTTTGTGCGCATGAATAGGGATTGAATCAGCATTAATTAGTGCTTATTGGGCGGTTGAGGGAGATTGGGGTGATGATTTTGGGAGCTCGAAACCTGGGGACAGGGTGATGCGGCGGAATGATCCCATGGCCTCAGGAAATGCTTCCACGATATGGATCGATGCTTGGCAGCCGCATCAATTTAACCGTTCCAGGGATAGAAGCAATCCCTTCAGATATTTATACTATCCCCTAGCCCCAAGTTTAGTATGGGATCCAGGGCCCAACAGGCCCAACATTTGGGTGTTTTTTATGGGAAGGTTAGGAACAAAAAATCCAAGAAGTGGGCGTATGCCGCATACATCCACTCACACTGACCTGCATGAATTTCAAGAAGGAGCCTTACCTTGAAGGGTGTTTAAGGCTATAAGAAAAAGGAACCGAAACTATAGATTTGTATGTTTTGTTTCGGTAGGTATCATCAAGACTACGCAGTTTGACTTGCTAGGTTTACTACCCCAACTGCTCCCTGTTCCCATTTTCTATTTGGAGATGAAGCCTCTAGGAATTGGCCACCCGCCTTCCCGCGTTCTGAGGTAAAAAGCTGGGGACTGTCACTTGTCGCCAGAAAAAGCTGGCAGGTTGGACCTAGAAACTTGGGGAGCTGAATGTAATATATACCCTCTGGTTATTTGATGTTATTTCTTACATAGCCATGGTATTGATGGCCCTAATCGAAATAGATGGTTTACCGAGTAAAAATGGCGGATCTTTCCATGGCAAACTGTGAATGTCATAACCAGATGGTAAGTCCTGGCCATGAGGCCCAGCCCCGCAGTCTCCCCGGATCCGACCATAGACAATTCAGGACTAGAAGTTCTGAGCTTCGCCATTTTTGAAAGAACGGCCGGTATATATAAGCACTATTAACCATGATCAACCATCCACATCTGCCATGAAAATCATTATTAATATTGATGAAGTAACCATTAATCAATTATTAACCATTAATAACCATTATCAACCATTAATCATAGATTATTAACCATCCACATGTTGAAGTTCCGTCAGTTCCGTCCCAAAGATCCGGTGAGTCCCATGGTGCCCAGCGGGCTCGAGGTGCCCTTTATGGATCTCGTCCCAGCGGGCATCGCGGAGGAGAACATGGTGAAGGTCCTGTGGGAGAAGTACGACAAACGCAGGTCCCGGGTAAGGGTCCAATAAGGGTCCCGGGGTTGGTGGATGAGAATCCCAAGTGATTTTTTGTGATTTTTCAGGGTTACCACTAATTACATGAGGTATAGTATATATATATAGAGTGTCCCTAAAACGATTCAGAAAAGGTTGTATAAATTTGTCATACATATGAGATACATTTATGATATTTATGTTATCATTGTAGCTTCTGCATTTTTCTTGGGTTGCTGTAGCCCATAATCAGGGTTGATGGCGGCTGATCACCTATTATTAGCATACATAATTCTTGTCATATCAGGAGATGGGGACATATTTGGGTCGACCTGGGTTGGGTTCTTAATACCATTGTTTTCTTTGAACTCAAGCGGGCACTATCCTGAGAAGTTTTGTTTCCTCTCCGCAATGTATCTCGGTATCTCAAATTACTGTAGCTCACAGATGGTCACCTGCTTTAGGCGATCTGTGCACCGTGCCCGCATTTTTGAAGTTGTTCACGCAGCCATTTGAGAAAAGAAACTATGTATACATTTAGTTTTATAATGTTCTATATAGTTAAGATATGTTAATAAAACATGTTCAAGGCCGGAAATCTTACTTAGATGGTGGTTGATGGAGGATGTTTTTCAACGTGAAGAGCATCAGGTGGACTTTAAGCCTTTAAGCCATTTCCACTGCGTCACTGGATGGTTTCTATACGGGGCATCTTCCTCAAATGGCCTTAATTTTGGGTGGCCCCCCCATTAAAGGTGAAAGGCCTGATTTCAGTTTGGTGAATTATAAATGACTATTAGTTCTGTAGACGCCATGACGCAGATGATCATACGGTCATTTGACTGTGTTGTGAAAGCTTTCGCGCGCTCTTGTAGGAATGATGATGAGTTTGTGAAGCAGGGAAGCGATCAAACATGAAGAACAGAGGACAAAGCATTCTAGAGATGATGACCCCCTGACAGTTTGGTTGGCGCTGAGCGACATATAAATGGGATGACCCCTTTTGCAATGGCTATCACACTAGAAACCCAGTGTTTCTCTCCTGTATGTATATATATATATGTATTCCCTTAATTCTTTCCACTGTTTACGAGGTCTCCCCCAGTTATGTTTGTTGTTTTATAACCCCAAACTGTAGACACATCTACCACAAAGGCAATTGGGGCACCACATTGTACCACTATTTTCCACTCCAAGTGGCGGTCCTGCCAAGTACGGGAAACTTCGACGAGAAATGCTTCTTGGAAATGATGGCTCCTTTGGGCTATCGCGCTCATGACTCCATGCCCCTCGTGGCCCCTGGGACGTGGAAAAAAGGTGGGACTATTTTGACATATTTTGACTATGACTATTTTCCACTGTGTCATGTAGATTCTGATCATTATGCGAGGTTGAATTTGTGAATGGTGTGCAAGACTTGGGCACGCTCAGAATTCTCCAAGAAATCTTTCGCCTTGGTGGGAAACTGCAGAGGATGCCACTGAATTTCCGCCCCCAAATCCTGTGAGGGACATAGCCTCTGCCCCCTCGGAGCAAGGTCTGTAAAGACGGGAAGAGAGTTCGGTTGGTGCACTGGTCGAAGGACCATTGGCATTTTGAAGGCTGGTTGAGCCTTGCCTGAAGTGATATCCATGCCACAAGAAGTGCCGGGTTTGGAACCTTAAGCTCAGACATGACAGTGGAGAGTCCAAAAAATTAAAGGACGATTCATCCTGCAAATGGGGAACGTCCATTGCGACGTTACATTGCTGGAAGGCAAAACGTCCAGGTCCATGTTGTTGTGGGTTGCAGCGTTTACCTGGTTGACCTGTTTATGCTGGAGCACGGGTTGGGGGACACTGGGGTGTTGTGATCGCAAGCTGTCTCATGCAATATCTGGAGGAATCTACATAATCTCATCAAAGCCAAGCATTTTTCAAGGACACTACCTCACTACCGGCCATTCTGGCGCCACCGGCGCCTTTTTTTTTCCGCCGTCAATGAACATCTCCCCGAGGACGGACTTCCATTTCGAACAACTCAAAGAACACTATGGCTGGGACGACGAGTAGCGCTGCCGTTCTGATTTCACCCCGAAAAGCTCTCCGCCGCGAGAAATGGTGTGGTGTCAGCTGTCAACAAGAAAGGTGATGAGATGATTGGCTAATGCTGAATTTCATTCCTGTGAAGCTCGGTGTGCTGTTTTGAGAAATCTCTTACAAAGCATCTCGCTGGTTTATAGCACATACCTGCATACATAACATAACATAACATGACATAACATGACATATCATGACATAATATGCCATGCAATGCCATGCCATGCCATACCGTTGGATTGCATTGCATTGCATCATTAATACACACACATACACACATACACACATACACACATACACACATACATACATACATACCTACCTACCTACCTACCTACGTACGTACGTACGTACGTACGTACATACATACATACATTGCGAATGGGAACTAGACCACAACACAGCAACGATTCCCATGTATATATCCTTAATCATTCCAGCGCCAAGGGGACATGATTGTCGCTCCCTTTGGCTCAAGACGCCCAAACTGCAGGCTCCTGTGAGAAAAGAGTTCCATACCGAAGTTGCGACCCCGTTCGTCATAAGTGAAAGCACATTGCATCAACAACTGCCCAATGAACATAATCGGGGAAAGAACCTCCGATTCACAGGTTATCAGCCGTAGGACTCCTACGGAGCCTACGCGCGGGTAGCCGCGGACCTTACAGATGACTGAACAGGATAGCAGCGATAACGCATTTTCTTTCTCTGGACATGCCGTTGCACCAGCTGCCGGCACGCAGTCAAATTCTTCACAGAGCATCGATACTGGTGGAAGCGAAACCTCAGAACTGAGACCAAGCCTACCCAGACGACCTCTGGTTGCTCCTAGAGGGAGACAAATTTCGACAATGCAAGCAATTGAAGATAGGGACAGTACACCTGGAAAGAGAAGATCATCTGCACGACAATCGTCGCCTCCGATGACTCCAAGGACTAAGGCAAGGCCTACCTCATCGAATCCGCCTTCCCCGATTCAGGACGCTACACCATCAGGGATAGGATCTTACCAACAAGTGAATGCCCCGTCAAGTGGTAGCGACATCTTCACTGCCTATCAGAGCGAATTATCTGAATACAAGACATCATTGGAAAAGGCCACTGAAGAAGAATCCGTACTTCAGGCGAGATTGACTGAGACGGCTGCATATGCCTATCAACAATTTAATTTCCTGGAAAGCACCACTCATCAAGAGATGATGTCGATGACTGAACAACTCCAGATGCTGAACTTCGAGTTACAGGCTGCACAACAGGAAGATGAAGGTGCAACCTACAGAATCGAAGAGTTGGAGAGGTATCAGACCATGTCGAATGAAGCCGCATCTCATTTGGAATTTAGATATTCACAACTACGTTCGGAATTCAATGAACAAATGGGACACGCGAACGCAATCATGGTACATGTGGGCGCTGATGCAAATGCTCACGTCAATCGACTCAGACTGGAACTAGAAAACGCAGAGATGAACGCAAAGCAAGAAGCTCTGGCGGTCGGATATGCTAACGACCAGACATGTGCTTTACAGGTCGAGATGCTCGAGGTTGCCAATCAGAACCAGACGATGAAGCACACTATGGCCATGAATGTTAGACGACTGGAAAATGAGCTCGATGCTGCTGACATGAAGAGGGACGAGATCATGAAGGAGTTCCGTAGTAACATAAGATCTGAACATGACCGTTATGCAGAATGTGAACATCATTTAGCTTTGGAAGAATCACAACTTCGATTGCAGATGATTCGCAATGAGAACTTACAATCTAGACTAGTGACTTCTGAGAGCAAGGCTTCTGAAGAATCTCTAGCTGAATCAAGTGGCATGCGGGACATGAGGATAATGGGACTACGTTCGGAACTACACATGAAACAAAGTCTTTTAGATCGAATGCAACAACAACTGACTGAATCAAAGAATCAGTATCATGAACTTTCCTGTCAACAAGCCAGAAGATCGTCGCCAAGCAGATCACCGCATGGTGGAGCACTATATGAAATGTACATGCAAGCTGTGCGTGAGCGTGAGAATTTAAAGGAACCCAAGGCTGAAGTTGACAAGTTGTACTTGCAAAACAGAACTGAACTCATTGACACTGAGAACCTGCTCAAAACCTTTCAGCAACATTTCGATGAAACTGGTAAGAAGTATCAAGATGCTCTGAACAAGATCGATCACATGAGCAACAATCCGAATGTGACGAGTAACTTGTTCGACAATTTACACAATGAAATCAGTGACAGGGATACAGCCATTGCTCGCCTTCATACTGAACTCGAAGCCCAAAAGGATTCTCTTGAGCGTGCTCACAGGGATGCAGGTAAGTCCATCAAGATGTTGAACGACAGAAGACTCGTGATCAAAGGTGCGACTGACTATTCCATTCCTGAAAGCCACTTGACCGAGATGCACCAACTGGCTAGTGAGCGTTTCGCTGAGGTAGAAGAGATGTCGAGCACCATTGCTGCCCTGAGGCTGGAAAACCAAGCTGCTTCATCTTCATCATTGAACAAACCGGCTACATTACTTGGGTACCCCAGTAGTGCTATGCCTCGAAATGAATGTGAAGAGAAGTGTGCCAAACTGAAAGCAGAGTTGGACGAGATGAAGCAAGAGAGGAACGCTGAAGTTCGAAATCTTCAAGATGAATTAAGGAAGATGGAAGATCGGAAAGATTACTACAAGAACAACTTCTCTCAAGCTGAAGATCGTGCCAACGATGAAGAGCAGGAATACCGAGCAGAAGCTGAGGCCTTCGAGAAGCTCAGGAACGAGTACAACACCAATGTCAAGGAGTTGGAGAACCTTGAAAAGGACAGATCTAAGTCATCCGTATCTCTAAGGGAAGCCGAAAAGATCAACCTCCAACCTTGGCCTAAGACCACTGAACTGTCATCCTGGAAGGGAAGTGTTGTTCATGAAGTTTGTGTTGCAAGTGGAGATCGAAACTATGAAGATTGGAAAGCATGGCTAGCTCCATGTCTTGCAGACCAACCAGACTTGGAGGCCCTGGCCAAAGCACCCGATGTGAGATTCCAATCCATTGATGCCAAGCTCTCCAACGCCTTGAGGAAAGTCATTGACAATACTGGGGACAAATCCATGCAAGTGAAGTATGACATGTCCATGAAGAACCAAATGTATGGGAGGAGTGGGGACTTCATAAAGGGACGAGAACTATTCGCAATGGTATTGATTAGCTTCAAGTCACCTGACCACACTGAGGTTCTCTACAACGCCCATCATTTGTACATGTTCAATTACTATGGAGATGACCAACTTGAGGCCTTCTACAATAAGTGGCTTGATATCATATACAACATGAAACATGATGATCTGCCTTCTGCAAATTCCCTGCGTGATACATTGTTCCGGAAGATTGAACATTCAAAGCTTATGTCCTTTGATATCAGCCGATACCGTACCTATGATGAAGGGCATCCTGAAAAGACTTATGCTTCCCTGACCGGTATGATCAAAGGATACATAGCACGGGGAAAACAAGAACGACTGTTGAGAGATAGAGAACGTGCAGTGAAACTGTCATTGTCCTCTAACAAGACAACACCTGCTCTGGAAGATGCAGACAAGCCTGCCGCTCCCATCAAGACCAAGAAGGAGAATGACGCAGCTGCATCGTCTACAGGTGATCCTGCCAAACGACCTAAGGCAAAAGCGAAGAGTGAAGCTGCATCAGTACTCCCAACACCTTCTCCGAAATCCCATGCAGATAAGAACAACAAGAAAGGCAAGGGTGGGAAGGGGAGATCATCTTCGCCCGTTGACAAGAAGAAGATTTATTGCAATTACTTCTTCAACAAGGGAGGATGCAGCAAGGGTGACAAATGTCTTTACAGTCATTCTCAAAAGGTCTATGATGCCAAGATGAAAGGTAAGAAAGGTAGAAGCGGAAGTCGAGATTCATCAAGAGGGAAGAGTAGGGGAAGTTCATCTTCGGTTGGATCCAAGAAGAAAGTATGCTGGAATTGGCAAAAGGGTACCTGCACATTCGGGAACAAATGTAAATTCCTACATGCAGAACAATCACCTTCAGCATCCTCAGAAAAGACCAGCAAGAAGACACCAAAGAAGAAAGCTACCCCCATTACCATTGATTCCTTCTTTGACAGCGACAACGAAGACACCATGGATTATACCTCACCGAGGATAGCCAGTGCAAAGAAGTCTTCTGACTCTCGCAGGATCTCATTTGATCTGGAACCCGAAGTGCACAAAATTATCATTGAGAACTACCAGGAGGGACTACCAAAGCGTACTTATCGTGATCCCAACAAGCAGTATGTCTTCTGGAAGATCGATGATTTGACTGATGATCAGTCCAAGTCCGACAACATCCTCGGTTCAGTTCGGGCACGGGCCAAGGCCATCATCATGGACAGATGTGGACTCCATCGTTTTGTTGATGAAGTTAGAATCATCATTGGCCCCAAGTTCGACATGTTGATCAAACTGGACGATGATCGTGATGATTTGACTTTTGTTGAAGAGCTTGTTGAGCATGAAGTTGGAAAATCCCCCATGAAGTCCAAGAATATGATGTGCATTTCATTACCAGTACAAGCCAAAGATCGTAGATTCATCCTGGATTCGGGCAGTGGACACGATCTGATTTCTGCAAGGAAAGCTGAAAGAATGAGCTTGAAGCAACGAACTTGTGACCCCATCATGTTCCACACCGCCAATGGTTCAACTGCTACTCAAACAGAAGCGGAGATTGACCTGGGAACCTTTGATATGACATCTCACGCCTATGTATTGGACGACACTCCATCTGTGATGTCTCTTGGGAAACGATGCATGGAAGAAGGATACTCCTTTGTATGGCCATCTGGGCAAATGCCGTTCATGATTACGAAAGATGGAGAACGCATCGATTTGACTATCCATGACAACATCCCCTATGTTGACCTTGGAACTTACGAGTGTACTCCTCATGAATGTCGTCATGCATCGAAGATCAACGACCTACTATTACACCCTCAAGATGAAGTTAGCGAATTCAAAGACATAGATGATGTAGGTCAA